GGGAAGGGACCTAGGCTCGCCAGCCCCAGCAGCAGAGCTCGGGAAGTTACTTTTTTTTTCCCCACGCCAAAAAAGAAGGAAGTGGAACGTCCTTTCGTTCCCGTTACTCCCAGGAACGAAAAACGCTTCCCCGTTCCACGCGGCGGTGCGCCGACCTGGATCAAAACGCATTCGAATTGCGGAGAAAACTCCGTTCCCCATTGACCTCTGCGTTTAAGGAAAGGAACGGGGGTGTGTAGTTGATGGGGAATAAAGGAGTGAAGAAGGGTAACTTTTGGGGGGCAGGGAAGAGTTAGAATTGCACTTTCAAAACGGGACTTTGAGTTACTTGCATCCTGTGCTTGCCCCCCTTCCCCTTCTTGCTGGAAAAGGATCAGTTTCAAGCAATGTTTAGGGTCATGCCTGTAAATTCTTCCCATCGTGCCTTAAAATGCCGTGTAAATGTAACTTTTGAATAGTAATTGAAAACATTATTTCTTACACCAAGGGGTGTAATTATTATTGCTGGAATGGAGTTGATTAGCTGCGTACTGTAGTTCGGTCCTAAGGACAGGTACTGACCTCTGAATTTAGAAAATAGAGGGAAATGTTATTGTCTCCACAATCCTGACTCTGGATCTCATCTGACAAACCTCCTCGGAGGCTCTAAAATGGCCTCCCGCTGTGCTTTAGGACGGATTCCTCGCTTTACAGGCACCGGAAAATGGCCGCCCTATGGAGGATCTTCGCAAAATGAGCAGGTATTTAGCCCATTGGAACGCATTGAACAGTTTTCAGTGCATTTCAACGGTTTTTAAAAATTTCGCTTGACGATGATTTTGCTTAACAGCGATTTCAACGGAACGGATTATCGTCATCAAGCGAGGCACCAGTGTAGCTTTGAAAAGTTACTAGGTGGGACTACGACTCCCAGTGTGCTCCACTGCTAAGCAGCGAACAATGTAAAACTAGCACTACTGAACCTATTCATTTAACTCGTTTGCTCATATACATCCTTATTAAGTCATCATCGCAAGGTTTTGAAGGACTCTGTGCCACCTCTGGAGGAGATGAAACAGCTTTCCAAAGTATGCTGCCACCCCAGTTTTACAGGCTGGAAACTGAGGCAAGGGAAAGTGGCCTGCCCAGCCTCCAAGCCACCCGGTCCCACCTCATGCATTATGCTTTAGAGTATTAGTGGCACATCGTCACGTTGCCGAGTCACTTCCAGGCCGGACCTGTTCTCCGGCGGTACCCGTCGGGTATCCTGTCTCTTTCCATAACGACTCATTAATAAATGCTTGGCAAAGAAGTAATCAGGAACCAGGACAATTAGGGCAGGGCGTAAGCATACAATTGTTCATTCCCCATTTCTGGCTGTCTTTAAGGAATGGTTTGGAACTCTGAATTTCAGGGGCCAGAATCCTATACAGTGGTGCCTCGCTAGACAGTTACCCCGCATGACAGTTTTTTCGCTAGACACTGGCTTTTTGCGATCGCTATAGTGATTCGCAAAACAGTGATTCCTATGGCGGAATTTCGCTGGACAATGTTTGGTCCCTGCTTCTCAAACCGATTTTCGCTAGACGACGATTTTGACAGCTCCCTCCGCGCTCGCAAAACAGGTGTTTTCGGGACCTAAGCTTTACAAGACGGCGATTTAAACAGCTGATCGGCGGTTCGCAAAGCGGCTTCCCTATGACCGATCTTCGCTAGACAACAACGATTCTTCCCCATTGGAACACATTAAACAGGTTTCAATGCATTCCAAAGGGGAAATGCTTTTCGCTAGACAATGATTTCGCTAAAATCTTTGGAACGATTTCAGTGGAACGGATTATCATCTTCTAGCGAGGCCCTACTGTAGTTGGTGTAACAGGATAACCCCCAAGTTACAGAGTTGGTGTAGGCATCTCTTCAACAAATAATATTCGCACTGACTTGGCAACTTGTTGGAATGTGCTCCCTCCCTGTTACGCCGGTGATGAGATTTTAGCCATCGTGCCCTAAACACCAGAAGTGTGGGAAGCAATTACAGGAAATACCACGGCGCTAGCATTCAGTCTTGAAAACAAATCAGTTAATTCATCTGATACCATTCAGAAGTCGAATTGCTTGCTAAGATCCTGGGTAAGGACATGAAATCATTAACCAGAAAATATAAGGCTAGGGTTGCTGAAAAAGACCCATCGCAGGTCAATGAAACAATGTCGTTTGCTTTCTTCGCAGCTACAATGAAAATTCAAGGCTTTCCTTCCTAAAAAGCAAAGATCCTTTCCTAGAATGAAAATAAAAATTTGTTTTAATTAATCTTCCAGTCAAAAGCTCGTGGTCCTAAATCAAGAACACGATCCATGGGCTCTGAAGTTCTGGAGCAAGAGGAAGCCAGATTTCGGCTGAATATCAGGAAAAACTTCCTAACTGTTTGAGCCGGACGACGAGGCGGCCCGTGACCTCTAGAGGTCAAATCCGCTTTGATTTGGGTTCCTGCTTTGAGCACAAGGTTGGAGCCGATGGCCTCAGAGGTCCCTTCCCACTCCACGATTTGATGATGATGATGATCCGGTCTTGTTCGACTCCTGGCTCCTCTCTCGACTTCCTGTCCCGTCTCAGCCTATTTTGCTTTCCCCTTTAAAAAAAAGGATTAAACAGCCCCCGTACACCATTTTGCCCTCTAAATAACCTCACGGCCCCAAAGTGCCTCGAGGTAATTATAGAGCTGGTAAAAACAAAGCTTCGTGGTCGTATAATAAGCGGTGCCTGCTGACTGTATGGCTGTCTATACATCTTGGCGTGTGGGATGGGCTCGGTTCGTACTTTGGGTCCAGCTGTAGGGCTACTGCGTTTTGGGGGGCAGATTCCCCGGCAGAGATAAGGGTTGGTTTAAGGGAGGTCGCGTCCAACCAAGGGAGCCTCTTGGATTTGATGGGAAGCGCACTTTCCCTGCCTTCAGATTGCACCAAACATCTCCGAGTACAGTGGTGCCTCGCTTGACGACGTTAATCCGTTCCAGCGAAATTGCTGTAGAGTGAAACCGTCGTCAAGCGGAGAAAACCCCCGATGAAATGCATTGAAAACCGCTGCATTCCAATGGCCTAAATACCTAATCGTCCAGCAAAGATCCTCCATAGGCCGGCCATTTTCCAGTGCCTCTCTTGCGAAAAATCCATCCTAAAAACAGCGAGGAGTCATTTTGCACAGCGGGTGGCCATTTTGAGAGTCGCCAGTCAGCTGTTTTCAGACCATCGTTAAGCAAAAAAATCGGTTCCCGAAGCAGGGAACCGATAATCGTTAAGCGAATTTTACCCACAAAAAACCTAATTGTCAAGCGGATTCATCGTTTAATGAGGTAATAGTTAAGCGAGGCACCACTGTATGTACATTTTCTGCCTTTTAAAGATTTCCATCACAGGACCCCCACGTATAAAACCAACAGCTTCCCTTGCACCTCCCAAGCCGTAAACCTGTTTCCACTGAAATCATAACCACCGCTTTCTTCCACAAAAGCGTCGCCTCCTTTTCAGCCGACACTGGGGGCGAACTCCGAACTCAACCCCATAAATGGAAAACTCCAGGATTCAAATTCCCACAAAGCCCAAACTGTACGCCTCCCCAAAGCCCGCAGACAGGGTGCGGAGGGAACAGTGCTGGCCGGTGCTTGCTTATCGGCACCTGGCGTCGGAAGGTAGACTGCCTCTGGACAAGGAGGCTCTATCTTGTACGTGCAGCTCTCCTCCTGCTGTGAATATGTGGACTCCTCTTTCGGATCTGCTGGGAGCAGTTTTCCACTGCCACGCCTTGTGGTCACAAATTACGTGGAGTAATAGTTTCCACAGCCTTTTACTCTCGTGCCGATCGATCTTCACAGATAAGTTGCAGTTTTGGGTTGCTGACAGGAGGGACCTATGGAAGGAGAAATCTCTGGCATCCAGTTTTCCCCTCACATGCCTTGTTTTCCAAATTTCTTCCATGGGTTTCTCCCGCCCCACGTATGTGGTTTTCCTAGACAAGAAAGCCACGAATGTTTCCAGAGAACAGAGCCCCCCCCCTTGAAACCTTACGTGGTTTTGGCTAAATGGTGCCACAAAGGATAGGCTGTGTTTTGGGGCAGCCGTCCAGGACCACAGGCCACAACATGATCGAGAGTCTGCCCCCTGAAGCAACGGCAGGAGTGGCTAAACACATCTGGAAACAGATGTTGTTATGTGCTGCTAAGTCCCAGCATCAGTGACAGGATTTTCAAAGAGTGGACTATGCATCTCCTGTATGGAGAATTAGTGCAGGGAAATCGCCCCAGAGGGAGACCACAGCTGCGATACATGGAGATCTGCAAGCGGGATCTGAAGGCCTTAGGAATGGATCTGGACAAATGGAAAACCTTGATATCTGAGTGTTCAGCCTGGAGGCAGGCAGTGCATCACGGCCTTTCCCAATTTGAAGAGACCCTTGCCCAGCAGGCCGAGGCAAAGAGGAAGTCACATAAGCAGCAAAACCAGGGAGCCGGACAGGGGACAGACAGTGTGGAAGGGACTGTCACTCTCGAATTGGCCTTCTCAGCCACACTAGGCGCTGTTCCAAGCCCTCCATACAGAGCACGTTCCCATAGTCTCTCGAGACTGAAGGATACCTAATCTAACTGTGCCTTAATGAGCTTCCACAGCTGGGTGTGTATTGGAACCTGGGTCTCTGGGGTGCCCCTCTACCCACTACACCTCACTGCATCTCTGAAATAAATCGGGAAAGTAATACGCTTCGTGGATCTCCATGGAGCGCTCACACACCCCTGCCCAGCGTGGGATTGAGTATCCCTTTCTAATTTGCCGTAATGCACCTCGAGAAATTGGAAAAAAGGTGGAGACTCGAGAAGGGCGACAATGGAGGGATTTGTCCATGGACCAAAACACAATCACAACAAGGAAAGAATAGGTTTTTAAAAACATCGCAAACCAGCTGCACTCAGATTTTTTTTCCTATAAAAGTAACTGAAAAGGAACTATCCGTGACTAAGTTACTCGTTATCAGACCTAACTTGTTCTGAGAGACGGGAAAGGCACTCTTAGCTGGGCCCTTGTGGAAAATCTTAAAAGTCACATTTTCGAAAAGGAATTTCCCAAGTTCTTCTGGAAAGACGGGAGCTGTCTTTTCTGGTCTTACCCATTTCCCCCGTGACGCTTACAGATGAAAGCTTGGGCCCGCCGAATAAAAAGGCGCCTATGAAGGAACGAACCGGTTCTGCAATAACTTCGTCAGCAAATTATTAATTGCCAACGAGAAACGAAAAAGGCGGCCTCTGTTTCGTGCTGGACTTTCACAAGACGGTGTGGGACGGATTCCACACCACTGGAGAACAGGTTTCCCCCACTTGTTGATCTTTAGTGGTCTGAGACTACAGCTCCCATGAGCCCCTGGAGTGAGTGGGGATGATGGGAGTTGGAGTCAATGCCTTTGGGGGTCTTAGATAAGCGCCTTTGTATCTTTTAGATCGGCCCTCTGAATCGATGCAGCCTTACTCCTTCATTCGTACAGGTGTAGCCTCTAGCTGGGGGTGGGCTTTTTACTGATCGGGCACTCTGCATATGCTCAGAGGTGGTTTGTTCTCCTCAGGGGTGGTGGTAAGTGATTCCCGAAGGGCATGTATGCTTCGAAGGGCATAAATCAATGAGAACCGAAAGGAATTATTGGAAAGAAATCAAGCCACCCTCTGGAGGTTTCACAGATAGCATGGTTTGGTTAAATCTACAGAGACCGGGTGTCAAGGCTAGAAAGCAGAATCGGAAGATCTGGGTTGCGGAAGATCGTCACAAAAGCACTCCCGGATCAGGCCCAAGGTGGAGACCCGAAGCAATCTCACACACCTTCTTGATCACATGGTGCCAAAGCATACAGAAGCAGTGAAAGTAAGAACACGTTCCGATCACGACACGTCCTCCTTCCAGCCTTCAACTCCACCTTCCGGGTTCCCGATATGTAGAAGCCAACTGCTTCTAAACACACGGTTTTGTGGAGTTTGTCGAACCCGTATCGGAAAACTGGCTGTGCCAAAAGCGGGCAAAGGGCGGCTCTGAGAGACGTTGACCTCACCGTTTTGGAGTGTTTGTGCGTCTTCCGTGACTGGTCCTTTTCTGGCCTTGTTGTTCTTTTAAGGCACTAAAAAGCAGCTTATTTTCTTACCATGGCTGTGTATTTTTTGAAAATTGTAACAATAATAGTAAATTAGCCACTTGGAGCTGCTGAATTTATGATGATGATGATGATGATGATGATGATGATGATGATGATGATGATGATGATGATGATGATGATGATGATG